GTGTACTCAGACCAGTAATATTTGGGGTCACAAGTTTTTGCCGTGGATACTTTGTGGGTCAGAAGACAAAAAAAAGTTTGGGAACCACTGTTGTAAACTGCTTGACTTTAATTAGTGTCACAGGTGCCGTCAATCTTTTTCATCAGGGAACTAACAACCACTGGATTGTTTGGTGTCAGTTTGTGCATCACTGAACATGGAGCAAAGCTGTCTGAGGGGGTCAGGAAGAAGATGACAGACAAGGTAAAAACCAGCTCTGAGCTTCTTCCCTCGGCCACAGCTGACATTATTATTAAAAAGCAGAAGGATTACGGGACTGCAGCCAACCTTACAGGATGTGGGCGCATGTAACCGGAGTGCGGGGATGTTTTAAACAATTTTAAACATAAAAGAAAATCATCAAAAATCCTTCAATTTTAACTCCAAGGTTAAGGTACGTCACTTTCTGAGCAAACTTAACCACACTTTGAGCCATAATGGGCACCATATGAAGAAAAGACCCAAGAGAGAGAAAAAAACACAAAAACAATCAGACTGGAATTTACCAGAAAGTTTCTTCTTGAACCGATGAGACAAAACTGGAGTTACTGGACAATCCTGCCAGTTTTATTTTTTAATAATTGTGCAAGGGTATCAACAAACTTATCTGCCTCCCAACACAGACAAGAGAACGTGCAGCAGCACTGCTGGTGGAGTGAGGACCCAGCACAGCCGTTTGTGTCTTTTTTTGTTTGTTTCCTTTTCATCTCATACATTTTATGACCTCATTGGAAGGAGAAGGGGAAACTGCAGCCAGTGCTCAGGATAWTGCCACCAAAATATGCAGCATCATTGCTCACAGCAGGTGTTAAAACCAAATAAATAATAAATAATGAGGTGACTGCAGGGGAGGAAAACACAGGGCCGTGCTTTAAAAGAAAAATCACACACATACAAAAAAAAAAAAAAAAGAAAAGTTGTGTGATGTTTGGGGGGAGAGGAGTGCGTTTTTGCGCGCGGCCGCATGGTGGCAACCTGCGCTGCTCTGCCGCCGCTCCACATCCAGCCGTTACCTCATGAAGAACCCGGGACTGGTCCTCATCATCCGAGACTCAGCAGCACCGGCAGCCGGGTTTTCTCCCCTCCTCAGCCCACCCCCACCCCACCCCACCCGTCGCCGCGGCACGCTCCCCTCCAACCGCGCGCAACTTTCCTCCCTCATCCTGCGCTCTCCGAGCTGCTGAACTTCCACTCAGCGCCGCTGTCAAACCGAACCGGGCCGACCTTGACGGACAGCGCGTCGTGGAGAGGAACTTTACCGGAGGGAGGGACGGGTTCCGACGCTCCTTCTCGAGCGGGGGGAGAAAAAAAAGTCTTTGATTTGACAGAAAGTGTAAAAGCTCAGGGAGGGAGGTGTGTTGAAGTTGAAGCTGTGCGCAGAGGAAAACGAATCCTGAGACTGAAAAGTGGGAGACGTGTTTGTCCTCACAGGTGCTGCAGGACTGGACCTGACCCGGATTCATCGGACTGATCCGCGCTGCTTTTTTCCCCCCTCCCTCCACAAGGAAATATCACGTTGTTATAAGAACATCTGTGGAACTTTAAAGTGGGAGAAAGGGGGGGGGAAGGGGGAACCACAGTCGCTTCAGGAGCGGTTTGACGCGCTGCGCGCACTGCCGGAGGGAGGAGAGACCCTCACACAGGCGGACACCAACAGGACCACAGCGGGGTCTCCGGCACCGTGACATGCCTCAAGCCCACCGGGCACTTGTTGTCCAGCCTGCCCGGCTTCTTGGAACAATGTTTGAGGACTCCTGGAAGGGATCGATGTGGCGCGTCACGTGGATTTTATTTCTCTGCTTTCTCATCCGCTCCACGCAAGCTCAAGGTAAGGAGACAGGGGGTTGGGTAGGAGCGTGCGTGCGCGCGCGTGTGTGTGTGTGTGTGTGGGGGGGGTATCTGACCCCAGGGATTTTGTTTTGACTGATGCAGA